GTTATAATTTTCTTTCGCAAATCCATCAATTCTGCCATAATGATTCAAACAATTTCTTCCCCAGAAGTTCAAACGATGATGCACTAAAAGAAGCCAATTACCTCCCGGCGTAGTTACATCAGATTTACCAGCAGTAATGACCGTTTAAGACCTCCCCGCTTCGTGCGCACGCTTTTACCACCGGCATTCCTGTCCTTCCGAGAACCTTCATGTTCTGTTTTCTCGTTGTAAAGAAACACACGAGATACAAAGGCCAATGCCGCAACTCTCGAAGACTAATCAGAGTTACTCTGGGAAATTGCTTGATAATTACGCACAATTATCTTTGCGGCACTCGCCAAACGACTCCGACTACATCCATCTTCTCTTTTTCACCATGCAGAGGATATGCGAAATTAGTGTCGTTTTACTAGCGGCATCCCGTCTTATGTCGTAAATTCATGTGGAATCCTAGTAATTGCTTTGAAAAATTAATGTAACATATAACGATAATTACTTCTTTTATGAATCAAACGTTATATAACTAAGAGAACGATAAATCACATGGAAGATAATGGAAGCTTTCAAAACACTATCTTTATACATTTTTAACGGAAACAAGAATGTTTATAGCTCAGTAGACTTAGTTATGGTGACTTCCAGCAAGATCTTCCTAGAAAGCACACTCCCCATGTGTTCGGGGAAATAATGGAAATTAACAGGAATATATTCCTTGAAGGACTCATTTTATGTGTCGGAGACATCAGATAGCATTAAGTTTCCTGACTTGCGATTTTCCTCGAAAGATCGTGTTAATGGAGTTCAACAAGCCATCTTAGAAGAGGGGTACATAACTGATTAAATGCAATTTTGTTGATGTTCTAGAATCTTTAGTGTATTGATTAAATAGAAGAATGCAACTAAAGTATGCTAAAAGAAAAATAAATTAATTATAAGATCTGTTAAATATGAAATATAAGGAATGCTATAAGATAAGATATAAAAAAAGATTGTAAAAGCCAAAAAGAGATTGTTATATGAGAAACATTAGAAAAAAGAAAATTTTCATCGCTATTTTTTTAAACCGTCATTAATTCATTTTTAATATGAAAATTGTTCACCATAGAAACTTCAAATTTCACCATAGCAATTCCTCCATTCTTAGTAATCATATACATAGTTCAGTTGTTTCTCTATCAAGATCCTTCCATTTCCTCAACTACTACCTCAATCGTTCATTTAAAACCTTTACCATTATACACATTCCTGTTGTTAACCGTTAACCTGCCACATACAGCTATGTATAGTTTTTCAGTCACATACTTGTCCTTACAGTCCTCTACTGCTCACATGCATTCCACTCCGCCGGAAACACTCCCTCCTTCAAACAATCCACCCATCACTCCACGGGAGCGTTTTTGTCACCCTGACACTCACTACTGAGCAACTTCAATTCACTTCATATAAAATGTTGAAGTTGAAACATGAACTTAACCTTAACGCTGACAAGTTGACTGCGATGCTGTCTAGAAGTGGATGATTTACTTTGACTGAACATGTAGTAGTTGAGAATATAAAGAACAAGAGTTCAAAATATTTTTCAATTAGAAGATTTCAAAAGTTGTTTCCCTTTAGTGGTTTGATTCCCCTGTATTTGAAGAGACTTTTATGGGTATCACCTGTATAGCAATTTACTTATATAACACTTGTATATGTATAACGTTTGGTTAGACGGTATTCATGTGGTTAGAGATCTAAGTACGAAATTCAAGATGATATGAGCGATTCGTAAGTTTGATTCACGTTCAGTAGTTGAATGAGCGCAATATTCGAAAATTATAATGTTTGTCGTTGTTATAACCGCACATACCTCGAAAGTGGAAGAAAATTCACGAAATTTTAAAATTGAGGGAAACTGAAAGTCCCATTGATGACCATCACATTTCGAACGAATAACCCGTGAATTGATAACTGAAGTTCTACTGGGGCCTTGAATAGGTTAAACCGGTATAAGTCGAAGTAGGGTTTAGTGGAATAAGTTCAGTAACCAGGGTCAGTGAATTTGATACTATTTGACCTTTTCCTCTAATGTCATCTCAAATCGGTAATAAACAACAGGCCCTTAACACTGTAGGAACTGCAGGAAATATCTAAGAAGCCCGTGCTGCCATAACAATTGCTTTGTTACGTAGTGCGTTAGAGTTAGTTGATCTGTATTCGGATGTGCTCTTAACAGAATGGTAATTAATATCAAGAAATTCTCCAGACTTTAAGTGATTAATTTGTTTTAGTTAGTTTCTCCGTGAGTTTGATGCTATAGTGCTAATAATAATGATTGTAATTCGTTTAATCGGTAAAGGAAACATTATGATAAAATCTGCCGCATGAATAGGTTAGTTGAAGGATATATAGATACAAGTTAGTATCTTGAAATACATCTATGAACAGAGCAATAGATAATAAATTGGTCTAGCGGAGAAGGAGGGGAAATGTTGAAGAATACAGAGAGACGAAACAGTAGGAGAAACAGATTCACAAAACGGAAACCTAAGAAGTCTGGAAAATCTTAGGCAGCGGAACGAAACGAGAATGTTCTATGGATTCAATAAACAAAAAAAGGGGTTTAAACCAAGACCTCAACTTAATATTAAACAGATGGACCCGTATTTTGATCAATTGAACACTGACATGGCCGCGGAGACCTAGAGAAAAGTGATTGACAAAGAATAAGAAATAGCAACCCAAACAGAGATACAAGAAGCCCTTTAAAACCTAAGAAATGAAAAGTCACTTGACAGCGACGAAATTCAACTAACCTGTCAGTTACACAAATTATTGGAGCAAATATAGACTACAGAAAAAATGTCCGAGGAGTGGAACCTGGGGAACTACCAATCACTAGGTGGCGTAATAAAAGAGTCACCAGATCTAGTAACTTTTTCACGCCAAATTTAGGTTAGCGCCCCTATAACATTGCAACGTGACATCACAGGGCTTCCGGTTGAATACCAACCTAAATCTAGTTACTTTTTTCTCCCCCAGATTTAGGTTGGCACCCCTCCCCATATTTATAACATTGCAGCGTAACGTCACAGGGGGATTAGGGGGATTAACTTCCGCTCCAGAACTCTGATTTCTATACTACTACCATCCACTCTATCCATAAGAAGGGAGACCTACCGAAGTGTGAAGATTAAAGATGTATTACGATGTTAAACACAGCACATAAAGTATTATCCAATGTACTATATAAAAAACTGCTTCCTTATACGTCTCAGCTTCTAGGAGGGTACCAAAGTGGATTCCCGTCAGGCAGATCAACGACGGGCCATTATTTGTTCTACGCCAGGTAGAAAAACGAAGATAGACAAACTATATGATGATAGCCTCCACATTTCAAGAAAATTGGTAGACCTGGTAACAATGACAATGACGAACGTCAGATGCATAAAAATACAATACAACATCTCAAAGGACATATCACAGTTATCCTACGTTACGCGACTTTTCAATCATCTTCCATGTTAAATTGCCGAGACAAAGTAGGTTTGTCAAATACAAACTGTCAGATTTTGTTGGATAAGATAAGCCACCTACACACCGCGAGATGATCATAAGGTTGGTTTCCGCAAGATGGTATTGGTTTCCAAAAGTTAACATGGGAAGATTTCAAATGAATAGTCTGCATATTGATTTTTTATTGACAATTGTATCCTACTCTGCTGTTCTACTAGTTTGTGTGGGTGGAGAGCGGATTTATGTATATTGACGTACAAGCTACATAGAATCTTCTGATAGATTTTTGGATAGTGTCGTGGGACTGGGTATTGCCGCTGTAACTAGAAAGGTTTAGGTATATTTATAAGATTTGAGCAAGAGACAGCATTTTGTAATGTTCCGCATCTTTTCAGTTTGTCTGTCAGATATTGATCTGTAAAACTTGGTCCCTGACGTTCTTCATATACATATACATATTATTACATCGAAATAATGCTATTAGCTTCATAAATGTTAAGTTTATATTAATGGTATCTAGATTATCCCACTTTCTCCGGAACTTACATGTTATCCTAAATTCTGCTCTAACTAAACGATCATAAATGGCAGAATTTTCAAAAACTTTCAACTTGCGTTTCATATACTACACTGATTGGGTTACTTTCTCCCAGCCTATATCAGCCACATATTTTATGTAATATCTTTTCGGTGCAGTTTATGCTGACTTATTGGATGATCTAGTAGTGTATAAACTAAGCTGCAAAACTGCTGTATCCACTATGTTGGCTTGGGACATAAGTTATAGTTGATCGACTTAAAGCAATCTAATTCTTATTGTATTAGATGTGTTGCTGATGTTGATGGTAGTGAGTCTAAACAACAGAAAATGTAATTGGCCAGTATAGTATGTCGCATATTCTGTCCTATTCAGCATAATACTCGTATATTTCGAAGTTTTGAAATAACGCGAAAGTTGCGTTGTTATTTTACTATCCTAAGAACAAATATTCATGAAGAGTAATCTAAAGAAAACTATTAAGAATAGAATAAACTATAACACAGGAGAGAAGTGCAATTATTTTCTAAATTATGGTAATCATAATTAGTATCTTCCATGATTTTTTAAAGCAACGATTTACCTCTTTCATTAACGACTTTTCTAGATCAATACTTGAAAAAATTTACAGTTCGATGTGTTGCTTTGAAGGGGTTGTATATCGTTACTATCGTGATATTACTTTTAAGGTGTCTCCTATTCGAGAGCGTTCCCTCATGAAATGACAAATTGCATGATTGAACGACTCTTATGCTATCTGATTGTAGAACTATCTATCTTTTTCGATGATCTAGAGCGACCTTTTCGGGATTTTTCTGTTTGTATCTATGATGCAACAGAAGAGAATATCCTTCGGATAATTCCATCATTCTTAGGCAAACATCCAAGAGTTTCTAAAAAAAAAAGTTTTATTTATTTCCTGTATTGCACCACTGTCATATTTGAATCTGTAGCTAAAACTCATTACTTCACTTCAAGTTTATATAATCATCATATCTTCGTATCTATCTATTATCTTAATAATAGGGAGTTTTACTGTTACTTAACAAAACAATAATCATTTCATACACGATAAATTAATGACATGGTTTTTGAAGTAATAATGAAAATTATAAGATATTTTGATCTAACAATTATACGTAAATTCCTGACATGATGTGGTATACACGAAAATTTTCAAAGCATGCAGATAGATCTGTTTTATGATTGAGTAGACTAGATCTGGATGGCTATACTTCTCTCAGATGTGATAGGGATGCCCTCTCTCACTCAACTCGAGTAAGATTAAACTCATCATAATTAGCAATAGACACTTGAAAATTGCAATCGGTGTGTTTAACAGACTTCACTAAGTAAGTTTGTTGAAGCACTTGAATTATCACTCTCAAAAATTTACTTCACGGTAGACGATTTCTTCCTGCTCTCCTTGTGATTATCTTTTAATTTTGTACAAATTGTGAAGGAGCATACTGGAGTGGTCAAACATTTTGATTCTGTTCGTTCCTAAGAGAAGTTTAAAACGCTTATTTGATTGATGATGTTACCGAAAAAGTTGGCTTATTTAACGAGAAGTTCCTTATTTGATGTCTATGCTCCGGTTTGTGTGCTTCATAACTGAGGAAGTACAAGAAAATTCTGGATTATTGATCCCTTGAATCCATCACTTTGTAACAATTCTTCATTTATGTGATCCAGAAAATATTAGATGAATATAAATTTGAGATTACTAAGACATCGAATAAATTCTTAAAATCTTCATTGTATTCTTTGAAAAATTTATTACCCTGCTTTCATTTTGACTTTCTCTTCTTCTTCTTTGTACCCATTATTCCCGGAACCTATCCACCTATTATTCTTGAAGAGGGTTTTTATTCTTCGACCATTTTTTTTTTAATTCCAAACTCCCCCCAGAGTAAGCACGTACACAAGACGAAATATCTTAATAAGCGAGCGGCTAGATGCTTTGATCTTCGCCGCGTTCCCGATGGCACAAGGAACAATTCGAGTTGTTGTTCGGTCGAGGAGAAGAAGTCGAATTTAAATCATCGCTGTAAAGGCAGTCTTTTGGCGGCGCGGTGGCGGCGGTGACGCCGGTTATTACCGGAGGAGGAGTGGCCCGAGGGGTCGAGGAGGAGATAATGAAGTTGTTAAGGACGGCTGTCTTCATTTACGGGGCCGGATCTATCGGGACGTTGACGCCAGATGGCCGTCAGAGATTATGATGCACCGAGGCGAAGAGAATCTGTCCAAGAAAAAGACTTGTGGGATGAAAGAGGTTATTATGGTTAATATTTATACAGAAGGAGTTTTTTCCGGGAATTGATTGTATCAGTTTCTTAGAAAAATAAAAGAATCCTTCTTATTTTTTTTTTTTATTTTTGGATGAAGGATAAAAATGTTGGGGTGGTTTTTGGTTAAAGATAAAATTTAAGATGAAGCAGATGCGAGAAAATTTCAAATTCCCAGGTCGGAATTTAGACAGATTTCTATTCTAAAGTAGAACCATATGCTCTTTCGTCCCGGCTCTTTCGAACAGAAGAAGCATTATTAAAAAGGTTTCCGATCGGCTCTAATTAGTCCCAGTCCCTTGAGCCCGAACAAAAAAAGAACCCCATGAACCTGGCGGCGGAGGCGACTTGAGACTAAACTGAGATGATCCCATCTTAAACGGTCCCAAGTTGTTTGTTCTGGCAAAACTGGTAGCAGCCGCGTTTTCGCCTTATTTCTATACTCGTCCTCGTCTACACAACTTCTCTCCCTCTCGCTTCCTCCTCAAGAATAAATATTGACACTGGAATCACTTCAAACCGTAAACATAATTAAGCAAATATGAACTGTTGAATGGTTAATAAATAAATGGGTTCGTTTGCTTTTCCATCTCGTAATTTAATTACTCCGATAATTGACTAATATCGAGTACTTAATAATAATAAATTTAAAAATAAACTTATTAATTTGAATCACATAAATTTACTGCTTTATTCAGTAACAAATAATGGTATTATTTTTAATCCATAAAACGTCAATTTATAGATATATCTCGTTAACACTGGTTGTCTAACAAATTTATCGCCCATAAAACTCGCATAGAAATTTGTAACATCGTTGGCGCCTGGCAATAACATTTTAATTGTTGAGTATACAGTATACACCAATGTTTCTACATTTTAATGTTACCGCGCAAATAAAACGCGCGTTAAAATTTATTTTAATAAAATTAAAACTTTATTTGTTAAAAATACAAAAGTTAAAATGAGTTCTTAATGGCTGCAAAGTGTAGACAGAGAGTGAGGGTCTGACGATGAAGCAATTACCGCATCTTAACAGCAACGCGGTTGCCATTATACCAGGGCAATTAGTAGCCGATTTTTTCCCGATAATTACAGACCAAAAACCTGTTCGAGTCGCTTTTTGGCGCCTCGCATTCCCACAGGTAATTGGGGAAACATATCCGAGATTATCCGTCCTTCGTTTCAACGAAGAAAAAGAAAAAGCTTAAACAAAATAAAATAAAAATTCCTTATAAACGCTTCAAAACACTCGTATTTACGACCGCTTTTAAAATTGTTAAGAAGTATCAAATGACTCCCTTGGTCTTAAAAGACGAGGAGAAGAGAAGAAAGGATCGGACCTGAGAGAAGTGTAGAAAAAACTTACAACTAAGGAATTTCGAATTCCGTTAGTACAACCAACGAAGGACGGATGCTATGTGTTGCTGGATAGAGGATGACACGTGACGCTACGCGAGAGTTTGTTATTGTTGTTTGTTACTCACTACGTAAGGGGTCAGTGTACCAAGCTATTAAGAAAGCAACTGGTCCGCTGGATGCGTTAACTCGACTCTGAAGATCTCAAGACAGGACTGGATTCAATAGTTTTGTAAGCAACCACTAAATTATTGGTTCTGAATTTCTTCAATTAAAGTATTTCATGGTACTCTAAACTAAAATAAATATACTGAAAAGTTAAATCAGCAAATCATTGCACAATTTCTCAAAATTAGATACCAGCACTCACATTTCCACTTTCACATTACCGTCGAAAACCGAGCTTTGCACAAAGAATAATTCACCTCTAATAAAGAATAATAATAATAATACTTTATTGATGATAGCATCAATAAGTAATTTTCTTAGGTCAATAAAGAAAATAATACAATAAACACATAATGCAATTTACAATAATTAAGTACACTAAAAGTAGTAATAAGTAACAACAGGTAAGTAAAAGAACAAAAAAAAAGAAGAAAAAGGCTTCTGGGAAGCGACACACCGGTCATAGCAAGTCATCAAAATCATTGGTCAAAAACTCCTGAACAGTATAAAAGGCCTTCGTCACTAAATAATCTTTCATTTTGTGTTTGAAATTGTTACTCTCTAGCAATCTTATGTGTTTCGGAAGGACATTGTAGAATTTTATGCCAAAACAATTGACGCCATCCCTGGCAGTTGGCGTTCGAGAATAGTCCGTAATTAAGGTATCACCCGCCCTAGTGTGGTAATTATGATAAGTATTAAGAGTTTTAAATTTGGAGATATTACCCTTGATATATAAGAGACAATAGAGAATGTAAAGCGAAGGGAAAGTCAGTATCTTATAATCAAATAGCTCTACAACAGTCCCTAGACCGGCCATAACTCTAACACATCTTCGCTGCATACCAAAAACACAATCCACATGGGCGGAATGACCCCAACAAATTAACGCGTACGATACGTGGCTGAAGAAATAGCCGTAGTATGTGTTCATCAGAACATTGAACGGGACAAGGTCTCTCAGTCTCCGAATGACGAATACAATGGTATTCAGTTTTTTCGTCAATTGGTCAATGTCCACGTCAAACTAGAGTCAAGATAAACCCCCAGGAACTTGACCGCCTCGGTACACGACCTGAGACGTTTAAGTGAAAAGTTTAAAGTTTGTTTTTTCTCATTCATGCTTAGTCTGTTGGCCTGAATCCAATTTGAGATGCAGGCTTGTGACTCATATATGCAGTGACGCAAGGCATCAGCATCTGTTGAGGAGACCATTACGATTGTATCATCAGCAAAAAGGATGAGGTCGTGAATCATGTGGAATGTTACTGGGCAGGTCGTTGATAAATATCAAAAACAGGAGTAGCACCATTCTGAGCCCTGAGGTACACCATGCCTAAGTGGAAGACGACCGGACTCTAGACCGCCATGTGAAACATACTGCGATCTGTTCGTCAAATAAGATTCGAGAAGATTTATGCTGCTGATGTCCATATTGAAGGCACTAAATTTACGAATTAGTAAGTCATGAGAGACGCAGTCGAACGCCTTTGTTAAATCATAAAAAGCAGCTCCCGAATAAATATTGGCGTCCGATGTAGACCTATTTCTTTTAAAGCCAAACTGTCCGGAAAACAGTAGGCTATTGGAATTGAGGTGAGTTGCCATTTGTTTGTTTAAAATTATTTCAAAGATTTTCCCGAAAATTGGCAGAATTGCACGGGACGTGTAGCGGGTCTTTTTTGTGAATAGGAATAACCTTTGCCACTTTAAAGCAGTGGAAAAATCGAGTTTAATAAGCACTAGAATCTAGACTGTTGTGCATAACGTAACACCAATTTGTTGAAACTTTTTGTAAGTTAGCTTGGCACAACTGTTTGTTGTTTGTCATGAACCAAAAGAGGCAAAATTACGATATTATCCTTCCTTCAAGATACGATTTGACTGTTCTATTTTGATTAATACTACTAAATTTTTGGAATTAATTACACTGGTCTACAGTGGTTTTGTTGCCCTAGATATAAGATTGATTTTGGTTATATTTATGCTCACAACTCATAAAACTATCAATGATTTTGTAAGATTTGCTCTCGATTTTTTTAAATCTTTATTTTCATTTTACATTACAAAAATTAGAAAACAAAAAACAAAATAACAGATATACAGGGTGATTCTCAACCTATACGCATAAACTTGGGGATTTACTCCTCATGACGAATAATGACTAATGGGCGGAAAAATTTGTAGTAAAAGGTTTGATATTTACTTACAAATCAAAAATACATAGAACATTTTAAAATAACATCACAGCAAGTGTTCGAAGTTATTTCCCATATTTTCTATCAATTTTGCTCCCCGAATCCACGATCTCTAAATCCTAGGTTTCATCTGAACCGTCTTATTCAGGTTCTATCTAAGAGATCTACCAATCTAACTAATGTCAACAACACCGTTGAAAACAGAAAATGAAAACGGAGGCACACTTTGTAACGTCAAAAATTGGTTATCTGTGAAGAACAGTCTTAGAAACCTAAGAATTTTGAAACTTTTAGGTCAGAAGATGATACAGCATCGTGTTTATGGTTTTGTAAATTTATTTTCAAAGCGTGATTAAACAGAAGTGGTATAATAAGAGAGATATTGTTAAAAAAATTATTTATTTCGACCCCACATTAGTTGTCACTGTACTATGTTGCCAAATCAATTGACTAGAAATGATTAACTCTTTTGTTTGTAAAATCATTAGACAGATTATTTAGAAGATGTTCCTTTGAATGTATGTCGACAAATGAGGTTGCTACAAGATGGCTTCATTTAGAGAATGTGTTTGAAACCCCCTCGATTACCTTTTATATTAATATTATTTATTTGTTTGATTGAATTGATTTAGATCATCTTCGTAATCGCGTTAAGCTGCAGCGGCAATTCGACGAGCGAGACTTTGCGACCAACAACACGATGACAACAAAAAAAAATTTTAACAGTAATATCTTTCTTATTGTTTTGTTAACAATAAAATGTTTAGACATTTTTACGTTAATGATCTTCTTTTACGACTTCTTTAATATAAATTCACAAGACAAGAAACACCCTCTTTAGTTGATGATATTAAGAGGTTTAATGTCTTTTCCCACCTGGTTCAAATATCTAGTCTTGGGCAGGGCTGTAAATCTTTTTACCTTCATTCTTTCCACCTGTCTCATCCAACGTAAGCGGCTGATTTTTATGAATATGACGA